TTAGATTTGGAAAGGTTTACTCCAGACGTACAAGCTCCAGCTATACTCCAAAGCAGATCCAAGAATATGAAACATCTCCTGGAAATAAGGTAAGTTCACCACCTCCCTTATACCCTATAAACAACTCTATATCCTTCAACAACTTTTCATCGTCACATAAAAATTTCCTTGTTACATTAGAAGATATCCATATTCCTAAAGATGTTTCTGAGGCCTTATCTGATAAAAATTGAAAAAATGCCATGAAAGATGAAATGTAGACCCCGGAGAAGAACAAAACATGGGAGATCGTCAATCTACCGATAGGGAAAAAATCGGTCGGCTGCAAATGGGTGTTCTCAGTAAAATACAAAGCAGATGGCACACTGGAGAGATATAAGGCAAGACTAGTGGCAAAAGGGTTTACTCAAACGTATGGCATTGACTACCAAGAAACTTTTGCACCTGTGGCCAAGATGAATACTGTCCGAATACTACTCTCACTAGCTTCCAAGTACAATTGGCACTTGGAGCAACTGGATGTGAAAAATTCATTCCTACATGGGGACTTAGAAGAAGAGATATTTATGGAAATACCACCAGGCTTTAAAGAAAAATCTGAAGGTAACAAGGTGTGCAAACTGAAAAAAGCTCTATATGGGCTCAAGCAATCACCAAGGGCCTGGTTCGGAAAATTCTCTAAATTCATGCTCTTGAATGGGTATCAACAGAGTCAAGGGGATCATACACTATTCTTCAAATACTCAGACTCAGGGGGAGTCACAATATTATTAGTGTATGTTGATGATATTATTTTGACTGAAAATAATGAAGAGGAGAAAGCCAGTTTAAGGAAAAATTTTGCTAAGGAATTTGACATCAAAGAACTTGGTAGACTAAAATATTTTCTCGGAATTGAAGTAGCTCACTCCAGCAAAGGAATCTTCATTTCACAACAGAAATACATTAAAGATCTTCTTAGAGAAACAGGTAAACTTGCCTGTAAGCCAGCACCAACACCAGTAGAACCTAATCTTAAACTGGGAGAAGCTAAAGAAGATCCAGATGTAGATAAAGGGGCCTATCAGAGACTTATAGGAAGTTGATCTACCTCTCCCACACTAGACCAGACATAGCATTTGTTGTAAGCATGGTCAGTCAGTTTATGCAGAATCCAAAGCAGATTCACATGCAAATGGTAGACAGGATATTGCACTACCTTAAAGGAAGACCAGGAAAAGGAATTCTCTTTAAGAGAGATAGTGGAATGACCCTAGAAGTATACACGGATGCTGACTACGCAGGATCACCAGTTGATAGAAGATCTACCTCTGATTGCACATTTCTTGGAGGTAACCTAGTTACATGGAGAAACAAGAAACAGAATGTGGTGGCAAGATCTAGTGCAGAAGCAAAATATCGAGCTATGGCCTTGGAAATATGTGAGCTACTGTGGATCAAAATAATCCTAGAAGATCTGAAGATTAAGTGGGATGAGCCCATGAAGCTACATTGTGACAACAAATCAGCAATCAGCATAACCCACAATCCAGTCCAACATGACAGAACCAAGCACATAGAAGTGGACCGACATTTCATTAAAGAAAAACTAGACAGTATTCTAGTAAGTGTTGACCATGTATCATCAAAGGATCAACTTGCAGATTTTCTTACTAAAGGATTGGACAGTTCTGTCTTTTTCCGTATGATTAACAAGCTGGGAATGACGGATCCATATTTCCCAGCTTGAGGGGGAGTGTTGAAATCCAGCCGTTCATAGTACAAAGAATCCGACGGACACAAAGATCAATCCGTGGGATACTCTCATGGATCACGCCATAATGAGAGAACAAATTTAGGAAAGATTTTATTTTCTTATTTGTGTATTAAATCTGCAATTTATTATTTTCTCATTAGGACATCTTGTATAGATCTATAAATAGGGAAGATTGTAATGAATAAAGACAAGTTTTTCCCTCTCAAATTCTCAGTTTTAACACTAACTTTAGAGGATTTTTTTTTTTTTTTTTTTACACTAACTTTAGAGGATTATTTTCAACAATGATGATTCTGTAAAAGACAGCAATAAAAAAGATTCAGCAGAACAGGATGGCATGGCAACAAGGCCACATCTTAAGAAGTGTATAAGTATGAAACAAAAAACAAGGATTTAAAACGGATCAAACACCATAAATAATGAACATAGTTTAGAACCTATGATTAAAAAAAAAGAGAGAGAATTCACATATTACACAAACCAACTGCCAAATGTTAAAAAAAAAGTATCATAATGCATCATTAAGATCTTGCTGTGATAAAAAATTTAGATATGAGGTGCATGACTAAAAGAACTAAAGAAACGGACAAACTTCAACAAGAATTAATGCGTCATAGTGACCTATAGCAATTGCATCATCATAAACGTTAAAAGGAGCTCTGAAAAGGATTTCACAGAATATTCTGGAACTAAATTTAACCTGAGATCATGAAAGCAAAGAGAACAGCAAAGGACAACGGTGCGTGCACAGCAGCGGTAACAATCACTAAAAAAAAGGTTTACAATCCATTGCTTTTAGAGAAATAAGCCGTACTTCTTTCTTAATATTTTTTTGAAAACATTGGTGCTTACTTTTGGTTTTAAGAGAAAAACTTGAGCATGAAACCCAAATAAGATAGCTCGTACTGCAAAAAAAGAGCATGGTTTAGAAAGTGGGAAATCAATGTTACATATTTGCGCAAAAAAATGTCAACATGGTCCTAACTTCACCTCCATTCACAATAAAGTTCATAAGATGGAACACCTTCTGGGTTGTCCAGCCGAATTCAGGCACACGGAGCTGAATTCGAATTAGTTGAATCTGGAAAAAGAATTAAAATCCCAAAATATGAAATATCATGCCGAGAAAGAATGTTACTGTAATAATTATATTTGATATGAATAATTAAGTTACTTTATACTAAAAACAACCAAACCACATCTTTGAGTTAAATATACAAGACAATTATGTTTTGCGTGTAAATTTGATTTCAAAAGCATTTTGAAACGCTGAAGTACAAGACACTCTGAAGCAATAAAATGATGAATTTGTAAGGATTAATTTGTTCTCTATTGATTGAGATATAAACCACTGGTTTTCTTAGTTTAAAAAGATGACATTTGCAGTCTTCTAGAAGTTGACGTCTAATAGAAACAGATCAAGCTTTTATTGTGTGAACCTAAATGTACCGGATGATTATGAGATGGGATACACCAAAACGGTTTAATTGTTCATGAAAAAAAGACAATGCATAATGAAATTCATGTGCTTTTCATTTATTGACTAGGGATTCAACATGAAGAGAGATTAATCTGATTAACAATGCTATTATTTTCTCAAACGAGAACTTTGTAAGGAACAAATGAACAATAGACATTGAAGCAATTTAATAAATAATGGTAGTTTGAACTAATTGGTGTCCTTCTTAGTTAGCAATTGGAAGTGGATATATAAAAATAAAACAAGATTTAAAAATGATAGTAACTTAACCGTAACGGCCACTCTATGTTTGTCACCTTTTCACTAGATTTATCCAGTGACATTCCAGGTGCCATCTCACATCACATCAAAGGCATGGCCATCAAAATTGACAAAGCGACCTTAGGCACAATAATCAATTCAATGACAAACTATAGATGTTGTTGAGAAGCATCCAGGCTAAAGTATCACAAGGATTAAGAATCTAAGGGCATGGAGTCTAGAGAGAAAGGAGAAAGGATTCGCAATTGCGTGGTAAGCAAAGGATACTGGTCTAAGTGACCTTTGGCAACTTTTCTAGTGCCTGACAAGTACTACATACGCTATAATTCTTCACATAGTGTTAGACCAGTCCAACCTGGATCGGTTCAGCCGGCCCTGGACAAAGGGTCAGTCCAATTTTGAAGCCGCCTATTGTTTCCATCCAAGGCAACTCCCGCCCCCTTGGGATAGGGTCCACTGCTTGAATAGAGAGAGACAGAGGCGGCTAGGAGGGATTTTGAATTAGGGGAGGGTTGTTTAGTCTTTTTGAGAAATTATTGTATGTTTTAAGTAGATGGGGGTGCATTAGGGTTAGGATTATCTATGTTTTGCTGAATTTTCTGTTGGAGGCTTTGACGTCTTGGGCTCAAGCGTCGTCTACAGATTTGGGAGAGAACGATCCTCCTCTCGAATTGAGGATCAATTGTAACTTGGTATTTTCCTCCCACTTTCATCAATTATTACATGTTTGCTCATTGTTTTCTTGATTTGTTTGGAGAATCTTGGGGGAAGATTGCTGAAATCCCAATATTGGTAAGAAACATTGGAGTTCTACTAAAGTGTTTCCCATCAAATCGATATCAAAGCGGTGTCTGGGGCTGGAATTTGGATTATTTGGACTGATTTCTGCAGCAGATTTCATCATCTACCAGCTGATTTTTTGCTGTTTTCTGGTTGAATTCCTGAATTTTGATTTTAGCACTGATCCGGGTGTCGATGGTGGCCAAGAAGTTTGATGCTTTGGAAGAACGTCTCAAGGGGGAGAAGAGCTAAATCAAAGAAAGGGTAGAAGACAGAATTTCCTCCACGGAAGACAAAATTTTTTACCTTCAGGAGATGGTGAAGAAGATATGGGAGCATCAAAACCAAATGTCGGCATCGAAGGCAAGAGTGCCGAGAGGAAGAAATAAAAACTCTGAAAATCATAGGGATGAAAATAATGTGAAGATCTTAGAGGAAGGGAGAAAACCCTATCTGGAACCTTTCCAGAAGGAGGAAAGAGGTGGAAGGTATGGGAAGAGGCGTGGATATGCGGAGCATGAGTAAAGGGGTGCTGATTGGGAAAGAAGTGAGGGAAATTATGGAAGAAGAGGTGCTGATTTTGAAGAAAAGAGCGTAGAAATCAAAGATGGGTTTGGGTACAAATGTGGAAGGGATGATCGGGATACTCGGGGAAGGGGAAATTCTGGAGAAATTAGAGGAAATGGGGGAGATCAGAAGATCAGGAAGCTGAAGATGCCCATTTTTTAGGGAGAGGATGCACACAGGATGATTTATAAGGTAGAGAGATATTTCACCGTCAATTGGTTAACGGAAGATGAGAGATTGACGACAGCCGGCCTATGTTCGGAAGGGAAGACGTTGGCTTAAAACCAATGGAGAGACATGAGGTGGCTCATATGGAGTTGGAGGGAGTTCACAAAGTGCTTATTGGAACATTTCAGAACAAGCAGGGAAGGAGACTTCTACAAGCAGTTATTTGTCCTAATATAGGAAGGCTCGGTGGCAGAGTACCGCGAGAAAATTTGAGTACCTAGAGAGTCGACTGGATCTGCTTTCTAAGATCGTTCTGGAAAAAATTATATGAATGGTGCAGCCCTAAATTATTCCACATATGACAAGGAACAGTATGCCTTGGTTAGATTCCTGAAAACATGGCAACGCTATCTATTGTCCAAGGAGTTTGTAATACACACTGATCATGAGTCACTCAAGCATCTCAAGGGCCAGCATAAATTGAAGAAAAAACATGCTCAGTGGATGGAATTCATTAAGACCTTCCTATACATCATCCGATACAAACAAGGTAAGACAAATGTGGTAGTCAACGCTCTCTCTCGTAGGTATACTCTACTCACTACTCTTGATTCTAAATTCCTTGGATTTGAATACGTAAAGGAATTATATCCTGAAGATCTAGACTATTGTGAAGAATTTCAAGCATGTAAGCATAATTCATTTGATAAATTTGCATACTTGATGGATGTTTACTTTGAGATGGTGGGCTGCTAACCCAACTATGCGCGCATGAGGACCTAAAAGGGCCAGCTAATAATAGCCTAGTCGGATCATTAAGGGTTAATCTCCTCCGAGTAATTGAATAATTACTTAAATAGAATTTTTTAATCTATTTTTTAATATTTTTCTGAATTTGAAAAGTTGGAGGGATTTTTATATAGTTGTAATAAACTTGCCTATTTAAAGGCATTGGGAATGAGAAATGGATAGATTTTGGTTGTTCACTCATTTGAAATGTCTTATTAATTACAGCTGCCCTTTGGGTCCCTCTTGAAGTCTCCAAGAACCGCTCTTCTCCTTCTTCCAAGTGCTTCCATGGAGTCTCCAAGAACTGCACCCACCACTTCCTCCAGCTGTCCATCCCAAGTACAAGTTCCTACTCTTCCTTTCCCTGGCCTTGCCGCTGTCCACAGCCAGCTGCAAGGTTCAGCCAACCAGCCTCCCTGCTCGTTTCTGCTACCAGAACACTGGCTCAGTCTTCAAGAACCAGGTTTGTTTCCACTCCATACCGCCAAATTGCTGACTTCCCAAGTGTACTGCTGCTGCTCCAAACCGTGAGGCTTCAAAGAAGCAGAATCCTGCTGTTTCAGCCCCAACATCTGCGGCTTCCTTATCCTTCCGGCTACCTGCTTCCCCAGCTAACTGCTTTTCAAGAAACTGAAGGCCACGGCTGTTAAAGCCTCCACAGCCTCAAAGAAATCCCTTCTTCACTAAAAACAGAATTCCAAAAACTCTCAGTTTCTCAGATCTTCACAAATCAAACATTCAAGAACCTTCCACCTCTTAGGTATACCGCACAAACCATGGAAAATTCGGTACATGAGTCTTTTTAATTAAGCTGGATCCTTTCTCTCCCTAAGCCCAAGTAAATTTTGAGATGATTTTGAACAAAAACCCTAGCACGAAGAGCTCAAGTGCTCCATTTGTAACCATTAAGCATAGTAAATAAAAGAAGCAGAAGACATTAGGCTCACTGTTCTCTCTCTCCTTTTCATTATCTCAATCTGACTCCCTAAACGTTATCAAGAAGTGATTTGATAGTAACCATTGAGCAAAGCAAATAAACGAAGAAGAAGAAGATTTTTTTCTGGTCCACAAGCTCATTGTTCTCTTTCTCTCCTTTTCATTATCTCAATCAAACTCTCTTAATGTCATCAAAAAGTAATTTAAAAGCCAAGTGTTGTGATGCAAACCGATTATGAACAACTCTCCCTTGATGCGCTTGGACTTCAAGGAGCATTAAATGGGTTTATTGTGAATCACATCTCATCACACAAAGGGCTCACTTACTATTCCAATTTTGCGCATTTAACCGACATCGTTTCATAATTGCTCATCTTGTTAGTTTACGTGAAAAATAAATAAGCCACGCCCTCGCATGCAAACAAGGAACGCATGAAGTTTTCTTCTCCATGCAACTCTCATCTCCATTTCTTCTCTTTAAGGTGTATTCTTCTCTATCGATTGACCACACCCTCACTTCAAGCAGACAATCAATAACACTTATGTACAGAACTCAACAAATTCTTCTCTATCGATTGACCACACCCTCACTTCAAGCAGACAATCAAAGACATGCAGATCTCAACAAACATGCAAATCTTAATCTCATGTATTCTCATCAATTTTAAGGTATTATTCACTTGATAAGCACAATTCCTCTCCGACTTTTAAATTATTGGATTCGCATATTTCAATCTTGATTTCTATTTCACATCAACTTGTTGAATTTAAAATACTCTTCAAAATCTCCTAGAAATTGTTTAAAAACTTTATGCATACTTTCTTTGGACTTGGTTTTAAATTTGATATATCATTGTTGTGATATGAAATTTTGGCAAAATTTTTGTTGTTTATTCTTGCATATATCATTATATGGAATGAAACAATAATCTTATGTGGTTTAATTTTGGTTAATTACCATGGTTGTGTTTGCACACGCACATATAGACACATAAACACAATAAACAAATCATGAGTGCTCCAATTAAAAAAGACTAACTTGATTCTTCACTTTAAGAGTTGCAAATTGAAGCAAAAAATATTGTGGATTGCATTGCGCTCTATGCTTTGAAAACATAACCCACATTGTCCTTCTCTCATTCTCAACTCCCTAGTCAATCTACAATAAAAGTACCTCCTCGAACTAAAGCAAAATGCAACACACATACATTGGTTCTTTTGATGTCAATAGAAAGTTAGCAAACATGCATGGTGCTACATTAGGCAAAACTCCACCAACAAGTAACAAAAAATCCGCCAACATGTAACAAAAACTCCGCCAACTAGTGATAAGAAGAATAATATAATGATGGGGGAAATAAGGAGAAAAGCATAAGAAACACATGCGATTCAAGGCGAATAAAATTGAAATGCATGCTGCAAAATAAATTGTAAGATCAAAGTTAAAGGGCTGAACTTCGAAAGTGATTGTTGTTGCATAATTAATAAAATACAATTATTGTCATCTCTTTACTTATAAGCAGGACAAAACAAAAGATCATTATAAGTTACTAAAAGACAAAAAATCGTTTGGATTAAACATTGCAAATTATTTATGAAGTTAACAGCCTTCAAACTTGATAACTATAAAATATAATAGAAAAAGATGTTTTTTCAATTGGTGAATCAAGGAACCCACAAGACAATACACCTTTGAACAAACTAGCATAAAAAATATTGTTTGAGCATTACTGGCACAATATTAGATTATAGATACTCACATAGAGTGTCAAATATGATTATTAAGAACTTTTTTTCAAATGGTTGATAAATTTTAAGATTCAAGATTCAGAAATAATGAAGAGTGATATTCCATAATGCATTAATTACTCTTTTATCTAAGCTTGAATAAAGGAAAATCCCACAAAAAAATTTACAACTTAAGGAACAAATGATAACACAGAATTCTAATCTATTTACATGCCTAACACTTAAACATTTATATTTACATATACAACACCTTGGTGCCCAATCACATCAAAAGCATGAAAGGATGTATCTCACTTTAAATAAGTTAATTTTAATGATATTTTCTTACTACATTATATAAGTAAATATAAAGATATAGGTGCTAAAGATGTAAATGCATAAGAATATTGTGGTACGCATGTAAATATCCAAAAAAAAGTATAATGTTCCATGACCTCTATTATTTTAGCATACATGCCCAATAAAATATATAGCATACGGCAGAGAAAAATGAGAAGCTAGTATAGAAATTGTAAACCACTTGTTATGAAATTTTGATATAAGAAGAAACTTGCATGGCTGAAAAAAGGACTGAGTGATAAACTGTAGCAACATGTGCTTCAAATCCTAGAAAGTCCATCTCACATCATACAATGTGCCAAGAGAAAGGCTTCATAAGCATCATTTCTACCCCTATATCTCAGCCAACCTGGAAACTAAAATTAAGGCTACTCATACAAATTTAAATTTATTCTAGATCATCGACTGCAATTCCGTATATCCTTGTAACCATAGGTGAAGTGCTGGGATAAGGAAATTGCTGCTGATGAGCGTAATGTTCTATAAGCAATTATTCTAATTAAATCCTCAATTGATATTACAAGCATGAAAATATAGGAATCCGAAACTGCATGGCTGAAACTGTTGACCAACGGGTGAGAAAAAAAATATATTTTTTATCAACATGAAGCATCAAAGATAGCAGATTCACCGTCTGAACAGCGGAGACCTAACTCTTAGCAGGATATTATCAAGAGAATCAAATCGAAAAAATCTTCTTTTGATCTAGAAACCTTCCTAATCCCAAAAAATCCAATTGGCAAGCATAAAAACCGTTCTAAAGTAAACGTTCGATAACAACCCTGAGCTACAAAACAGAAGAAAGGCATAAGCCTGAAGTCTAACCAAAGCGATGGCAGATACTAGGGCGTATGCCGCGCAGAGGAAGTAGAAGACCCCATCCTGCCACTGAGTTGACTCGTTGATCTTATTCCACCAGCCGGAGATATTATTGTCGGCAGCCATCGACGCTTCCACATCCAATGCTAACCTCTTCATCTCCAATCTCCCCACCTTAAGCTCCCGCGCTAGGGTTTCCAAGTTCAACAATCACCAGTGAGATTTACAAGCGACTTGAAAGGATAGTAAAGCTACAGCTCTGTATCGAAGAAGCAACAAAGGTCGGATAAATGGGTCAGAAAAGCGAATGGGCGGTGAACCTCGGATTCGATCCAATTATATTTTTATCTTAATAATGAAATGTGATTTTTAATATTCCTTTTATAATTATTATTATTCATCCAATTATATGTTATTTTTAGGATTTTTAAATATTAGATTAAAATCTTTCCTTTTATTTAAAATTATTAAAATTAGTGATAATAATTTTATAGTATTTTAAATTATTTGATCATTAAGTGGATTTATCAACTTTTTAAGCTGATTACTCTAATATAACTATTAAATAATTATAATTTCATAAAAAATATTTTAAAATACTTATGATCAAATGCTTTTGTCCTTAAAAGATTTTTCATATATTGGATGGATTTTATTGGTGAAATATATAAATAAATTTAGACTTTTAAATGGCTTTTACATGATATTTGAGATATATATATATATAGAACAAATGATATGTGTCATATTTATGACCCGTGATGCATATATTTTTATATGAATGTACTAAAGAGTGGATATAATTATAAAACAATCAAGTTGCAATATATTATAGTATTAATTAAAATTTTCTTTGTAATGTTTTTGTTAATTAAAGTTAAAGTTTCCTAGATTGCTTTGTTTCAAATCTTTAAATAGGGTTTTAGGGTTTAAACGTGAGAGGATGAGAGTCAAATTGTAATTCATATTTTTATCCAATATAGTGAAACCATCATCTCCTCCTCATGGGCGTAGGCATTTTCAACGAACCACATAAATTACCATGTTGTTTGTGTTGTGTGAATTTTGGGTTTTATTTCCGCTTTATTTATTGCACAATAATTGATATCCAAACCAGATTTTGGTTGGATTTCTAGCAATGATTTGAAGAATGGGAGCAAATCTCTAAGACAATATATGGTTAGATCAAGCAAGCAAAGGTGTTGATTTTTGCTCTGGATTATTGCTGAGCTGAATTGGTGCAATTTTGATATCGTAAGACAGTTACAAATGCTTGTGCATTGATTAGAAATTGCATACATCATAAGATCAAGTATAAGGTGATGATGGAGATTTCTATTATGAAGTTGTGGAAGACTTTGGAGAATAAGTATATGACGAAGAATGTAGAGAATCGTCTTTATATTAAACGGTGACTCTACAGCTTTCATATGAGACATGAGGTTATTATTGATGAGTATTTGAATGACTTCACAAAACTGTTTGCATATCTTTTGAATTTGGATGAAGTTGTTGGAGATGAAGACAAGACGTTCCTTCTATTGAACTCACTCCCATATGAGAGCAAAAATTTCACGGTGCCACTAATTCATTGGAAGGAGATCGTGAAATATGATGAGGTGACTAATGTGTTGATAAATCATAAGTTTTGACATCATAACAAGTAGTCTGTAAAGATGGATTTAGTTTAGTATATCACACTTCAACCATAAATATCTGATAAATAAAAGAATAAAATGGGGCGGTAGCGACAAGCAAGGCAAGTCTAGTGGGCACAGTCTTGAAAACAATCAGTGTGCTTTATATTTAGATATTAGTCATTGGAAGAAAGATTGCCCGAAGTTAAAGGAGAAGGAAAATAGAGTTTCCACTGAGGTTAAGGAAAATATTTGCATGGAAGAGCGTGATGAAGACTCAGATGTATCATTATCTACAATTTCTCAAAGTTTATAGTTAGATAGTTCAAGCTGGGTTCTGGATACTAGTCTTAACTATCACATTTGTCCCACCAGAGAGTGGTTTTATATCTACAGGCTATAAGGAGCTTTATAGCGTTGTTTTAACCATGGGAAAAGATCAAGCCTGTCACATAGTTGGTGTATGGAGCATTTATATCAGAATGCATAATGGTACTGTGAGAGAGCTGACTAATGTGAGACGCAATCCAGATATCAGGAAGAACTTGTTATTTGTTGGAGCTTTAGAGACCAAGGATTACAATGTAGTTATTGAGGCAAGAATTTTGAAGATATATTCTAGAGCATTGATTTTTATAAAAGGAGTTTGTCATCATACCCTTTACTACCTTTAGGGTAGAATAATGATTGGAGCAGCTAATATTGTTGATGATTTTTTTGAGGCCACTACATTGTGGCATATACGACTAGGTTATGCTGGAAAGACTTTTCTTATGGATTTGTTAAAGCAATAAATGATAGAAGGAGCAAGCACATACAAACTTGATTTTTATCAAAATTATGTATTTTTTAAGAAGGCACGAGTATCTTTTGATACTATCATCCACAATACAAAGCCTATCACATAGTATGTTCACATCGATGTTTGGAGCCCAACAAAGTTAGTATCATTCGATGAGTGGTGATACTTTGTCTCTTTATTAATGATAACTTCAAATATATTTGAATGTACATTATGAGGCACAAAAGCGAGATGATGGAGATTTTCAGGACTTTGAAGAAGTAGATTGAGACTCTGAATGACAAAAAGATTTGATGTATCAAAACTAACAATGGGGGAAAATATACTTTGAATGCATTCTTGTAGGAGTACTAGAAATATGGAATAGAGCATCACTTTACTGTTAGAGCGACACCACAGCAGAATGGGGTGACATAGAGGATAAATTAGCCTTTGTTATAGAAAGTTTAATGTATGTTATCCAATTTTAGGCTGGATAGAGTCTATTGGGCTAAGGTGATAGACAATACTTATTAATTGGTGAACTGTCTGCCTTCTACAACTATTAGGAAGAAGACCCCAAAGGAGATATGATCAGGACATCATGCTAGAGATTATGAACACTCGAGAGTGTTTGGGTGTTCAGCTTATTATCATATTCATAATGATAAATTGGAACCACGAACAAAGAAGGTAATCTTTATTAGATTCGGTCGTGGGGTCAAGAGCTTCAAACTCTATGATATGACATGAAAGAAGATTATTAATAGCATGGATGTCACATTCAACGAGGAGAATAAGTTGAATTCTCGAGACTCAATCAGGTGGAGAGTTTTGTTGGGACCACATATATACTACAAAAGTTGGAGTTTGATGTAACTCCATTTGCTCCACAAAGATAAATCACTTATACTCATGTATATAATTCAACTACAGATCATGAGATTAAAGATGATGTTGAGAATGAGATTCTTGTTCATGAATCAATTACAAGGAGCAGGACCAGACACCAGAATGTCCCAAAATCAGCTTGGTTGATGGATCATATTGCATTTGCACTTTCATTCACAGAGACTAAAATTTTTAGTCACTATAAGGAAGAAGTAAACAATCCTGATACTAATATTTGAAAAAAAAAGGCAATGGATTAAAAGGAGTTTCTTCATAAGAGTGTTACTTGGAGTTTGGTGAAGCTTCCTCCAGGAAGAAAAGGCATTAGATGCAAATGGGTGTGTGCAAAGAAGGGAGTATCTCATGGAGTAGATGTGCGTACAAGGCTAAGTTGGTGGCAAAAGACTCTATGCAATGGAAAGGATTGCATATGATGATGTGTTCTCCCTAGTGATTAATCATCCCTATACCTGTGTTCACTTAGCACTTGTAACATAATATGATTTGATTTTGGAAATCATCTAGGTGCAGTTGTCCTGATATTGGAGCATGATTTATCATCTTTCACTTTTTGAAGTGAAAGGTGAGGTGAAGATTGTTGATTTAGAATTATTTTCAAATCTAAATAAATCTTTGTTTTGAAAAGCTTTGATGACAAATTTATGTGATTGATTACGAAATTGATTGTTTTTCTAATTAAGTTGATTTGATTGGAGATTTAATTGATGCATTAATTAGGGGGTCTGATTATTATATAAATTGAGAGATCTACTTGACATGAATATATTTTGCCAAATTACAATATTAATTAACATTTTCTTTGTATTTTTTTTGTTAATTAAAGTTAAAGTTTCCTTTGTAGCTTTGTTTTAAATCTTCAAATTGTTAACCTGATGTGTTGTGAAGCGTCAGGTAGACGAGAGGAACTTAGCAAACAAACCGAGATAGGGAAAGATTAATTTTTATTTTTGTATTATCCAGTGGGTATACAATGGTATATATAGAGGTTTTTGTAAAGAACCTCCGTACATATCTTTAATAGAAGAATACAACTGTACAAGGTTACCTGTTACATATTTCATTATGTATTCATATATGTTAACATACCCAGACAAACTGATGGAAAACGACAGTGACAATGAGTTTGTTAGCAAGATATTAAAAACGGGATATGGGTAAAGATTTTGTGAATATATCAGCTATTTGATCTTTTGAAGATATGTGATGAACTTGTATTGAGTTATTTTTGATGTGATCCCAAATAAAATGACAATCAATCTCAATGTGTTTAGTGCGAGCATGATAGACTGGATTTTTGCCAATGCGATTGCGGAGGTGTTGTTGCAGTATAAAGTTGTGGATTGTTGCTGCATAAGGTCGGGCTCTTAAAGTAATTGACGTAGCCAAATAACTTCGGTTGTAGCTGTTGCAATCGCCCGATATTCTGCTTCAGTTGAGGACGGAGCTGTTGTGGATTACTTCTTTGAGCACCAAGAGATTAAGGTAGAGCCCAAGAAGTTGCAGTAGCTAGTGGTCGACTTTCAATCATGTGTGTTGCCGACCCAGTCAGAGTCGGTATATGTACTAAGCGTAAGGGGTCCGGTGGTGATCGGTAAGCCGGAATATAAGGAGCCATGAAGATAGCTCAAAATTCGTTTTAGCAGCTCAAAGTTTGATACTTTTGGTTGATGCATGTACTATCAAGCCTTATTGATAGCAAACATGATGTCCAATCATTTGAGAGTAAGGTATTGAAGGGCTCCCACAAGTTGACGATAGAGCTTTGGATTATCGAAGGCAGGAGAGTCTGTGTATGATGAAGCTTTTTGTTGTTGTGGGAGTTGAAATAGGTTTGTTGTTTATCATTCCTACGCGCATTAAGATTTGTTTTGCATAGTGTGATTGATGCAGGATTAGTCCGGTTGGAGTTCGCTCAGCTGAAATACCAAGAGAATGGGTCAAAGTACCTAAGTTCGCATATTGAATCACTGATGTAAGCGATTAAGT